TAAACACTTCGAGACCACGGCTTTGCTTATACTTACCCTGGACTCATCTGACTATAAAGATCAAAATTTATATAATATATTTCGTAACAAAATTAAAAGATCATATAGTGATTATTTTTATAATTTTTTTCAAATTTCTGAATATTATTACACGCAATAATTTGAATTGTGAAGTAACTTTTATATTGCACACTGTAAATAGGTTTTTTATTTCTTCAATATGCTTAGGTGGTCGGCTCCCCTCGAGCCTCTTGACGGAAACCCTCAATCTAATGATACGCCTGCGTTAAAAAACACAAGAAAATTTAATAACGGTGCCCACAGCCTTACAGAAAACAAAGAAAATTTAATTTCACGATTTCCACATGCTCAATAACGCGGCAGTCTTTTAAAATTGAGAATTGAAAATCTACTTTACTAGTGCGTTTTACCAAACTTTTAAGTAACGAACAGTAACAGTTTATGGTACAATATGGTAAAATAGGCATGACACTTTGTTATAATTAAAAGAGTAAAATGAAATATTCAAAAAGGCAGAGCGAGGTCCCTAAGCGAAAACTCAACAATCCCGGTGAAAAATCTGCATATCACGTTACGGGGACATTTAACTAGTAATTATCCGGTACAGAGCCCCGACACATTTCAAAGGTAAGCAAATTAGTTCCGCACTTAATGATCCGACAAAGAGCGTAAATCTTTTTAAAACCCTGAGTGTTTCCTTTTCCCGTAGGGTAAACAGTACGTAAAAAAATATTTGCATAAGCTCACCCCGCATATATGCAAATCGGCCCATACGTGGAAAAGCGGTGAAAATTGTATCAAATTGTTACGACACGTAGGCTTTCCCGACAATTTGTCAAGCGAGCTATAATTATTTGGAGCCCCGTGCCTGCTGTGAATTAGGCGCTCGGTTTATGTTGTCATATGGGAAAGTTCTTTTCATACAATGCAGTTCTTTAATAAGCAATTTTTGTGTGTTCTGTGAAAATAAATATTTGGCAATATTTATTTTTAGTTTATTTTTATTTTTTAGGAATAAATTCGCTTCAACAAGTAGTGGAATAAATTCGCTTCAACAATAGCTTCATCCTCTTGCTTTCCCTTAGAAGAGGCATCATCTTAACAGACACAAGTTGACCTAAATAAGTCATAAATAGATACTAAAATCAATTGGTACGAGATACAAATAATATCTGAAAATTTAAACAAATGTAGGATTTTAAAAAAAACACAATTTATTATCAAATATTTTCCTGTGTAAATTTAAAATGTCCGTGTTGAAACATTTTCAGCGCTGGTTTCCCACGCCTCTCAATAAAAACAAAGTGCGATCGAACGGACGCTACCCGCTTGAATTAAGCCGGGTATCCGCCATTCACTCCTAAAAAACGTTATTCGCCACCTGTGGCTCGCGTATATCGCATGCGTTTATCTGCGGGAAATGGATGCAGTGGATCCTACATCGATATAGCTGACGGGAAATACGGAATGACGTGTAATTTTTTTATTCATCTCTTTAGTTTTGGGTATCATTTTTAATTAATATAAGAATATAATTGTTTCTTTAGGGTAATCCTGCTAACTCACATATCTTTATAGTTTTATGTTATAACTCGTTTTTCCTAAGCAAATCGAAATTCAATCCAGTTATTTAAAATGGGATGGGTCATATTGCATTATTATTAACTAACGGTTGGACTCTGTAAAAGAAGAGAAAAATAAAGTGTTATTTCTTACACAAATTAAATTCTAAAAAGTACATTTTTACGGACCTCAAACTATGTTCCGTCAATTCCAGTAAAATCACATCCAAGTTTTCCCAGAACGGGACGCATGAATTCAGTGAGCGAATGTGTTCGCAATTATCATTCACGCAATGCTCCTGACCGGGCCCAGCACACTCAATTAACACGCCTATCGCATTCCGCCCAATTGCCACTACAGATATATTGGCTTCCGATGCGCTGGGCCATTCCCGTTTTATTCTTTCATTTTGGCTTTGTACATGAATGCTTTAGGAAGTAAAAAAATAACATTACTTTTCTATAATGAAAACATTAATAGATCTTATAATTCAGTAATCGCCATGAAAAACAAAAAGCTATGTTTTCCCACGGTTATGAGGTCTTAATAGTGAACATGCCTCTATGAAGTCGGGTGCACAATAGCGATAAAGGTGAGCAGAAAATCCGGACAATAAAGTCGACAAAAAAGCTGAGTGAGGGCTAGTACGGGGAAATAGTTCGTGAAATTCGGAAGGGTCCTGTAGTGAGCACACTTTACGACGGTCCTCTTAGCGAACCTGGCCATTACGTCGGGTTAAAAGATCGTTCTATTCGCAATATAAAGATGCCGAGGCAAGATTTGTAGGCGGTTTATGGATGTAGAAGGGTTGTTAGATGCGGTATTATGATCATGTCGAGTGGAGTCGTACCGCATCCAGAAGTCAACATTGCGAACACGATGGAGTACTTTCGAGGGCAGTATAAGAACGTGGAAATGGTAAATCTCATTTTATGCATTATGAACTTGAGTTCTCCGGTCTGTTTTCAGTTGCGTTTCAGCTTTTGAGAGGTTAATAAATGCGGTAAAAGACACAATTATGTCCAGGGAGCCACTCCTGTTTTTGCCATTTTGTACTCTTATTTTTGTTTGTGCGAAGCGTATTTCATTTGCATAAATAAGGCTTATTAAGCTAAGCAAAAAAGATGTTTATTCGGTCTGACTGACCACGATCATTAAAGTTTTAGTCGAACAAAGCGGTATAAATGTTTAAGCTTAAATAAAACAATGCAGTTTCCTTTCATTAACCAAATATTCAAACAATATGAACACTAGCATTTACACGTTCACAAAGCTCTTGAATGCGAGCACCATTTGATATCCAGAGACGTTTGCGGCTAATTGCATGGACGGAGGGAATAAACAAGGCGTGCTGAGGTTCACAGGTGTTTGTGGAGAGCCCTCACGTAAACAGTGCTTTGCACTTCCTTTTGCAGCGAGACTTCCTTTGCAAGTCGCATCTCGTATATATATATATATATTGTCTATATAAGAGATTTAAACTTTCAAAGTCTATGTATTGTTAATGGTAGTGACTTCGAGAGAGCATTAAATATCATTATGTTTTTAATATCTGGTTTAAAATAATATATTTACTAAAAAGAAAACCTTTTCAAACACGGTCAGATTTAAAGCATGTAATGTCACTATCGCGTGTCTCGTTCCGTTCGAATCTAAAGTACCGGCACTAAAAACAAATTATACATAAAGGTTTGCGGTTAGGACTCAGACGTGCCTCGGTCAATCCTTCTAACCTGTCGTGTGAACTAGCCCTTTGAGCTTGCACCTACACACCGCAAACGTTTGTAAACAGACTATTTTAGATTGCAGGAACTAGGGATCACATTTCCAGTTTGGGACCTCGATTTTTCATTTAGTTTTATATTTATTTATTTGATTAGTGTAGAATATACGCCCTGAATTTGTCGTGAAAATGGGAAATATCGACAAGTACCTATTATTTGCGAAAAGAGGTAAAGAAAAAGAGATTTTTAAAAAGGTATTTTTACTTAACTTTAACAAAATGAACGCAAAATCGTAAATAATAATTCAATAAGGATAGAAAAGTCGAAATTCCATACATCCATAGCGCGGTTATTCTGGAGATAATTATGCAATGTTGGGCGGGCGGCGCCGCGAGCGGCCTGCATATTACATGAGAGTAACTTTACGTATTTCTTTAATATTTCACCGTGGGAAATTCTTTGGTTCACATAGTTTACATAAAATCTAGACATAAATGGTGAAATATGATAACTTACACCTAGAGATTTCCTACTTACAAAAGACTGTAATTTCGCTATCGTATAACAATTCAAATTATTTAAATTTTTAATCAGATTCACACATTATAAATAAACAAAAAACTAAAACTATCCTACATGCAAAGGAGTCCTAACACTAATCATATGTGCTTGCTCTGTAGGTAAAAGCACTTGAAGTACCTACTATAATATATTATGTACACTGACGAGATTGCACTTGAGACTTAATTTCATTTCCTAATACGCTCCACGTATTTGCTCGCCATCCATCATGTTTGAACAGAACCACATTTTCTCTAGACGTGCGATATTTTCCTTTTGTCTAGACGAAATATTTAAATAGAAACAATCGTGAGTTCAAGAGGCGATATATCCAAATTGCTCATGTAAGACGAAATTAACCCTCGGCCGCATTAAAGCAGATAAGTCGGAGCTCATTTGCGGGCCTTCCGGCAGAAGCTCGTTACATCTTGATATTCTTTACCCCTTCACCGATACGGAGCACCACACGAGCAATAAATGGCGCGGAAGAGCCCGCTATCGCACGGCCCGATATCTTCCATCCGAATTAATTTCAGAACGCGCCTCAAACGAACTTAGTTCGCGGACTTGTTATTTCTCCGCACAAGCGAGCGAGCGCGACTTCTAATCGCTAAGAGTTGCGAGATAAAATGGCGGACCCGTAATTACCATAGCGCCTTTCGAAGATATGTGGAGAATCTTAATGGTACGGTGGCTTTGTAAATAATGGGCTCTTATGGGAAAGTTGGCGAGCGCACTGTATCGTGCGTAATTTTAAGGCTGCGAACCCTCGTGTCTTCGCGTTTATGTTTTAACTAGCTGTTACTTTAGCAAAAATATTTATTACTTTGAAATCTGTGTGCTTGACTTATGGTTATCATAATTCCTGCCTATAATTGTAAGCAAAAAGCTCTGTGTTTAGGAACACAGTATTATTGTTAATAACAGTTTTTTGTTAGATATTAAAAAAGAACTTATGCTGCATCAACAAAATATCTTTTGATACATTCAGTTGAGAGCTAAGTATTACTTAAATCTCATGTTCATAATCACAATCCCGAGCAGCTACTCATAAACATTTCCGCACTAGTACTGTTCCGCTATTCAGATTCGCAAACTGCTCAGTTAATACATTTTAAAACGTCTCCGACGTTATTCAGGAAACGATTCGTACCGAGCTTTAGTGCAATGAGCATGTTCCCCACATAACAGCCACTGTAAATTAGGCACCAAAAACGGTCTCATTTTCCACCCGAGTGCTTCGGCTAATATTGTCTCGCTCTTGAAATATGCAATCTCACCTGCGGGAGCCGGCGTACTGTAATTGTTGAATATACTGCGTCGTTTAATCCACGTAACATCTTCTGGAATGTTCGAGAACGCAGCCAAGATTTGCAGGCACTCTGCGGCGAGAGACTTGGCCCCGGGCCTACGCCGGATTAACCCGACCTTCTCCGTGTACTCACTCCCCAATTCCGGCGCACTTGTAACCGAATGTTAAAACTCGTTTACATTCCCGAAACCTTTTATAAAGTACCTCCCCGAAAGCGTTCTTCAACAATCCCGTTGCAAAGTTGCTACAGTAAACAGCCTTCAGCGTCGTCGTTGAAATTGCAAAAATGTAAAAGAGCTAATGTTTGCTCACCTTAAACCCCTTCCCGGCCCCACATGCCGGCGTGACGAGCCGGATAAAAGGCTTTAATACACCCTCATCCCTTATTACGAAACTTGAAAAAGACAACAATATAGATCCAATGTGTCGCGGGCGGCAATCATACGCGCATCAAAGGTGGCGCGCCTCGCAGCTACCCAAGTGTGGAAAGCTACCTCGTGTTGCGCTTCTATGGAAATACGGAGTCAAAGGGCAACACGTTATGAGATCTCGAACAATACAGATTGTTTCAATTCCATTTCCTTCACATTACCCACCGTTCGAGAGCTTTATAATAAATGCATGCTCATATGCCGCTCACATTCACCGTATACAATTAACTAGTTCTCTTAAAAAGCTATTACTGAGTATGCTTTAAAACTGTACCACAAAAAGAATATTGATAAAAAGAAGCGTTTTCCATGTACACTGTTCTAGAAACACATCAAGCCGTCATTACCGCCCTTCTGAAAAATCTGAAGCTGTTTTGCAAGTCTAAACTCCTTGTGTGTCACCTGACGGATCCCATTTGAAAGGCTCTGAGATACTCCTTCGATACGCCAAACAGTTAATTGTTAATGCATAAACATAATAGAATCTTGTAATTTATTTTAAACTTGACCGATATCAGAATTTAACATTTACGATAATATACACTTTTACGATTTGCTTAATTATAGGGGAATAATAGACATTATGATGTCAAACATATGGTTTTTTTCTTATAATACTTAAAGTGTGCTCTTAATTTGATGTTGTGGCCCAAAAATCATTTTTTTAATGTTTGTGTTAATCTATTTTTATAAATTTAATGATCGAACTTCGAATTTTTTCCATTGAGAAATTGTAAGTGGATTTAACAGCCATTTTCGAAGGATTCTATAACGATAGGACGTGAGCACATTACTTGTAACGTCATCAAAATAATCCCACAATTTTCCACGAGTTCACAGGCTGCCACAAATTGATATCCGATCAGGGCTCATATCCAACGTCAAATTGTTTTCTTATCAATACGTTTTTTATATATATTAAAAAAGTGCGTGCGTACAAAGTACACATGTCAGAAGTGAAACTTCTTTGGCAAACTAATTTTTAAGTCTCGTTCATATTTATAAAATTCTAAAACTTTAGATTTCTGAGACTTAGAGCGAGGGAAAAAGGAAGGTATGTTAGGAATTTAATCAATTTAATTGTCATTAAAATATTTAAAGTGTCGATAATTAATACAAATTATAAATTTAATTTTTTAAATAATAATAACAAAAACATGGCATTTTAATTTACAATTCGTCATTTGGGATTTCTATAAATTATTTTGCATAAAATATAAAATACTAAATTTCCATAAACTTACGAATTTTTTTGGCCCTTCTCAATCTCTCTCAATCGGTCTCAATCGCTCTCTCCCTTTTCTTCGACAAAAACGCTGCACATCTTCGTGACGTTTCCGTAAAAAAAAATTTACCCTCATGCGCCTACAGAAGTTTCTCTTCAATAATAAATAATAAGTATTATTACCGTGTAATCGAATCAAATTAACATTGTTTTAACTAATTACCATTTATTTGGTGATAAATTTACCTCGACTTCACTATTGTGTGTAATATAAGGCTAAATGTGTGTTCTTTGGACAAATAATTTGCGATATTTGTTTTAAAATAAGTGTTGTTTGATGATTTGCTATTTTAAGAGTACTGAGTGCCGGCTTTTTCTCTCGGCCTACACCCTCTGTCTTCTTTGCCGATGAGTAGGGATGTCTACCGATTCAAATTTAATGACGTGGAATAAGTGATACTTGTATCATATTTTCACTAATAAACATATTTTATTTTATTTTATACATAATACTTATTGACGTAAATTGGCGAAGATGACGAACACCCATTACGCACGGTATGATTTCGTCGTAAAACAAGCTTTGGCACAAGTACGGGAGTCCGCAACACGCTGCCTCAAATTGCCATTCAATCAGTGTCGCGACATTGTTTCCCTATCAATCCTTATTGGGAGTACGCACACGCTCCGCGCCGATATGCCGCCATCAAAACGCGATTTGTTTATGAAAATTTATTGTATTCGCCATTACCGGATTCTTTTCCTACGGGAGCGACCCGCGGAACGAAATCACCTTATTCAATTCCCTTTTTGCATACATCACACGAGGGGAACAGGTTTTGTCTAAACATGTGAAACGCGTTTGAGAGCCGAGTTCTCTTCTTATTAGTCTGGATTGTATTCCTTGATTCGCCCGCGGGGCTTCTTTCGTCTGATATTTCTTTGAAGCATTTCTAAGAGTATTATGACACTAAGGTAACATATTAATACATATAAGTTGTGAAAGTTACCAGCCTTATCTGTATATTCGACATACAACATTTATTTCACTTGATGTTTCACAATAAAATAATGTTAATTTTCTCACATACAAACTGTACTCGTACTGAGACCACTTGTCATTAGCGTTACACGTACGACGAAACGGTGATGAATCTCCCCAAAGCCTCCAATTCGGAATTCCGCTCATATCATTTATCAGCAGAATTAGCGAGTCACACATGCAAAATGTCGATTGTAAGCGCGCGATATGACACCGCTTCCCTTCTGTTTCAAGGATTTGGAAAAAGAATTGTCGCATATATCACGGTTAATAGGGTGAGGAGAGAGCACTACTTATGCCTAATGCGACAAGGAAACATGCTATGCTCGTACGCTCGAATACATTTTCAGAACTGGATTTTCAATGTAATAAATGTGAGCAAACCGAGCGAGCTACTCGCGGTAACCTCAACTTTTGCAGTTTCCGAATATTTGAATTAATAAAAGATCTCATACAAATATTATTAGTAATTCTTCGGGGTTTAGACGTAAATAAATTCCCGGATATGCCTTAAACGATTTACGCTATGACCAAAAATTTTAAATAAAACTACTTGAGCCCATATGTTTAATGATGATAATGTTATTTTTATATAAAATTCAACACATCAAAATAAATATTGTGTACCTACTGACTCAAAAATCTCAAGGCAAACAATGAAATTACTATTAATATTTATTCAACACATATTTGATTCTATTTTGAATACCCAAGGTGCATTAGCTATAACGCTAAAAGTATACAGCAAAAGCGTGGTTTTTTGATATAACAATAAAGTGTTGGTGGTCGTAAACACGTTGGAATAATGCTCAGTAAAACGGAATGATCCTTGTAAATATGGACAGGCAATGTCTTTGAGAGTAGGGAATGAAGATGCTCTTAACGATAGGTACCATAAAAACCAAGTCATTTATCTAATATATTTAAGAATTTCAATAAAATCATATCAAATTGATTTTGTAAACATGTAGCAAACGCAATTTTTCTAAATAAATATAAGTTTATTCGGATTGCATTAACCGTCTGATATTAAAGTTCATAAAAAGTTCTACCCGGTTTTAATAATGAAATTTCCTCAAATTTTAATAATTAAATTCACATGAAAACAGCTTGTAAGGTCTGTCTAAGATAAATCTTTATAACACATTCCAATCGTAAGTCTAATGCACTCAAAGTCTTTCCTCTCGTACCCAAATCAGCCGAAGATTATGCTAAATACTCGTTGGTATTATATTCTACGTAACGCATACATAACAAGGGCCTCATCACTCAGTAAAAAGCTGCTTTATTTCCAACACATGATTATGTAAAAGAATTCCCAAATTTCATTGTATGGGGTTAGCGTGGGTCGTTAAGAAGCGATTTCAACACGATTTACATACACAGGTTTAAAACAATGTCTTTTGTTATTTATAGACAGAAAGTACTACGTAGTATATTTGCCTATTAAGAGGTACGAGACGTGAACGTAAATAGTGTCCAATCTATTTAAATAATCTATAACGACCGAGTCTAATTTCAGCCATAACACAGAAACATTGTTTGCGAACCTCATTAACTGTCTTGTACGTATCCAAAGTCGGCAAACGAGGCCAATTTTCCAAGCCACCAAACGACTTCCTCGTCAAGTTAATACACAAAACAAATTGCCGTGGAGATCACTCCGCAACACCACAACAATTAATCAAAAAAATAGAAGGAATTATCCTTCCGAGTCATTATTATTATTTAAATCTTACGTCGCTGCAGATATTATTCTGCCATAACCCATTTCGGAGGATAAGAAAAAGGGATGGTAGTCATTAGCATATAATGACAGTAATTAAAATACACAAATAGAGCTATAAAGAAGGCCCGCCGTTGAAGGGTTGTCTTCATCATGGAGCGAGAATTTATACATGGCAAATATTTTCGCTGCGGCTCAAGCAAGCCGCTTCAGAATTAAGAACGGTATTGTTTAATTTATTAATTAATGGACCCGCTGTTGCGGTGATGATGACGGAACAGCTCAGCGGTATATTAATAAGAATTGAAATTGGATTTAAAATGTGAATTATATTTCAATTAAACTGTGACCTTTACGTCTACGTATGATATAAAATTGGGAATAGAAAAAATACTTACAAAATAAAAAGTGGGCATTGATGTCCAACATCGTAAGACCTAAGATCGGAGCTAAAAATGTTCTTAAACTTTCTTAAACATTTACAAATTTCATTAAATAAAAAATTATCAAATTCATTAAGTATAAGAAATAAATGTTCCGCTCCAACGCTTTCTCAGACAATGGTGAAGATAATTACAAAATGTAAAGGTTTATTAACACAATCGGGCAGTAATTAACATAAAAAAATAATATTTACCAGCACTAGAGCTGAGGCCGCTTAATTTACGAATATTACGGATTAGATTCATTCTCTCAACCCTTCGTTACAAATAATTGCAGCAATGTTAAATCTTGAGAAATGGAGCAAATTTTAAGATTAAACTCATCACGTTTATATGGAAATTTTGTAAGAACGACTGTAATTAACCTTTTCATCGTAATTTTTTCTCATTTATTATTATACACACGTTCTGAAAAAATAAGTTCAGCAAATCTGACTTCAAATTATCTCAAATTACCTATTGATATTTTAATCCCGATTACATCAGATGATTCGAGATGTCTCTATTAGCATATAAATGGCAAGAAAGTATGGAATCAGCATTTTAATTTTTCAATATTAGGGAACGATTTACAAATTAGCGGGTAAGAAAAACGCTCTGAAGGCCTTGAGAGGGCGGAAGAGCCCGCAGATGTTCTATTTAAATGTAAATTTATTTCAACATGCCGACGACACCGATGAAAAACATCATTCAAAATCGCAGAATTTGACAGACCTATTGCAAATATATTGGAAAAGCAACGCAAACTTTAATAATAAAAATAATAATTATATTTAATTAAACAACTACCAAATCTATTAAAATTTAATTGATCTATGCATTTTGAATTATTTAGACTTTTAATTTAAAAAAATATAATCTTATACCAAAGTGATAGAAAAATTAACTAATTTGACAGCTGTATTTAATCAGTCTCACAACAAACACGGGGAGGGTGACAATTGCAGGTTCCGGGTAAAAAACGAAAAAGAAAGAATTCTTTCACTTTGAAAAGGCAACAATAAAGGAATCGCGGAAAAAGGTCCGGATGTGGAAGTGACAGATTGCCGACAATGGTGAAAAGTCACACCTCTTGTTAACGGGACGGCGAGCAGGAATTAGCTATCATTTACTTAAGCGCTTATATAACTAATTAGAGAGCCGTTGCTGACGCCAAGGGTGGATGTCGTGGAGTTCTTTCAGAGATCTTTTATTATATTTCTCTTTTGCTCACTAAGTACTTAAAGTTGTCTTCTGCAAAAAAATTGGATATTTCCATTATTACTAATAACAAAATTTTGATGAATGTATGTAATAAACCAAAGTAAGCAAAAGTTAATTAAAACGCGGCCGAATTAAAGCCAGTGTTTTGATTTAGATTTGTTCCGTGCAAGATCTCTCATTAAGCCGCTTTACATTTCGAATTAACGAATCGATCATAATTGATTAAGTACCGTGGCGAGGCAAGGAGTACCACAAAGGAGTCTATTCGGACCACCTCCGAGGAAAACAAAAACAAGATTTCTCCCTTTTTGACCGAATCGTCGAAAGCGAAATCTGGCTTTGTTCATTTGCTCGGTAAACCGATAATTTCATTAAACAACAAAGTGGGACTCGTCGGGAGCTCTGTAAACACGGCAAGAAGCCAATGTCCCCCAAGATGCGAAATTCATTTGAAGAAAAAATTTAAGTCCGAGCGCATCGCGCCAAATTAACAAACCTCAGCCCCTGCTTCTAAAAACATTTGAATCTCAAAAAGGTTTCTTTAAATTAATTAAAAACTATAGACGAGTAGAAATAATTTCATTATTAAATGATGAAACATTTGTTATAAAATAAATACTAATAGTAGATAATTACTATTAAAAACTAAAAAAGGAAGAGTGAAAAAATATTTTGATTACCTGATTTTCGACAAAGGTAAGCTAATGAAGGCACAAAAAGTACAACCTACATAGGTTGTTACTTGCGAATGTTAATCGACTTGCACTTGAGTCTATAATCTCTCTAATATTGCTCGAGTAACCCAAAACGCTCGGATTCCACAAGTTAAAAATATCGCAGAGTAATTCCAAGCATTCGGTCGGGCTACTCGCTTTAATTTCGGTAGCGGGCAAATTAAGCCCAACCCCGATATATTGCATTTGTTCTTTTGAAGCTTCCGGTGAAGGGTTAAACCAAGAATGCTTTTTACGGAAAATTTAATTATTTGAGAATTCTCAAGGTGTTTTGTATAAGAATGATTATTGGTTCTGAAATAGACATGCATAAATCTGATCCATTGGAACTAATTACAGTTGAGAAAGTTGTTGTTTATTTTTTTACGAAATGGACTGAAATTTTAGGTAGAAGGGCTGATCTGCTGAGCTGTTTCAAATCATTTGTTTAAAAGTATTCTAAGAACAAACCCTAATACCGATACCTTTTTATATTATGTAATTCATATTCATTTCAGCGAGTCCAAACATCAATTATATCGCGAATGTACGACTACGAATATTCGTTTAACCGTAGCAATGAATTATAACCTCAGGCAGGTAATTAGACCGAAAATACCATTAAATTAATAAATAAAAAACAGAAACGGAGCCCATCGTATGGCACGATGTAAGGCCCCTCTGTCGAATAAATTTATGTAAAAATTTTCATTAATATTTTTGAGGCTGGCGGTCCGTCCGCCCTTGGGAGTGAAAATCGAGTTCGTGGTCGCGATGGAAAAATGCAAACCGAAAATTATGGGGTCCCTCGACTTGTATTTGCTTATGAATACGGCAGGTAGGACCGTATTGTGTATACGTAAACATATCATGTGCGAAAAATGCGAGGAATTGTTTGGGGTCGCTTTACATTATGTATTGAAATTGCTCGATTACTTTAAAATTATAAATAAACCAATTTAACTGTATTTTTATAAAACCTACCATAAAAAAATATCTAAAAAACAACCTTTTTGCCAAATTCCTATCACAAAAGACGAATAGTTCCAAGAACGCCCGACAGATCTACAGATTATGAAAGATTTGTGAGCTTCAAGTGGTGCCCGGTCTTCAGCTTAAGAGATTTAAATCGCTCGGTCGCGTGGAATGCCAGATACAAAGATTGGTCGCACGAGGTGAAGTGATACTTTTAAATAATCCACTTACTATTTTTAAATTAGTAAGTGTTTTTTTTCTCTATATGTTAAAAAATTACATATTGATATTGTTTGAAATGATTGTTTAAGCTTGTTCGATTTAATTAATTTTAAAGTTTTTTAGTAAGTAAAGCAAGACGAGCAGTGTTGTCTACGCTCATATAACACCTCTTCCTTATCTTAACTTAAGTCATAACACGTAATAACATTTTAACGAACATTGACGAAATGAAACATTTGTTTCGTTTCCTGTAATGTTTGGTTCTCTGGACATACCAGGTTATCATTCTACAGCGACGATAAATAAAAAAGTAATACAGAGTATACATTCCCTTAAACCGGGAGCTAAATCTAATGAAGTCGAGAGGCGTATATCACTCGGTAAGACCACAATGCAGCCAAAATCTGCGCGATATCAACTCAACCTGTAAATCTTACATTTTTATATTCCTCCCTCCAGGGCTAAGTGAGTCGCACCAACCCAGATTATATCTTGACACTTGATGGATGAATGGTTATTGGTTCTTTACATTTTTATCATTTTGATACAGTTGCGTACAAAGTTCATGCGTAGTACGAGTTAGTGATGTATTTGCAATATCTTAATATATATATTTCTTGTGTGCGTGTGTATGTGACTGAACCTCTCTCAAACGACTGGACCGATTTTGATGAAATTTTGTGTGTGTGTTCAAGGGCCAGGGTTTAGATTCACAAATCAGCCCGGCAGATGGCACTGCAGTCGGTACTTTCATACTTTGCTTAATATCCTAATCGCTTTAAATATCATGCAGGACAACGTCTGTGGGGTCCACTAGTAACTTTATATTTTGATTTATAGCTAGATTGATAACAACATGAATATATGTCAGAAATCGCGAATTGTGACCTGAGATGTCAGACTTGCTAACGGTTACGGAGCCACTCATCGATCCCGACATATCTAATCTTGAGACCGCCGTGGGTGAAGTTTTACATGCAAATGAATTAATTCTTCTTCGCTCAGTCGCGGGTTCAGCTCGTTGCATTTATAATGTGAGTTCATTACCTAGGTCTCGACTGAGAGCTCACCGTAATGGCTTCGGAAGAACGTTCACTTCAATTATGAGGGATATTAAATTCGCTGATATCCATCGGTGGGGTTGAATGTACTTTCAATTACGGCGTTTTGATAGTGTCGGTTTTTGGTTTTGGTTTCCATTTTGCTGGTTTGACAATTTTAAAACTATGTCTAGCAGACGGAACAAGGTAGTAAGTAATAATGAGATTGTTTGTTTTTGAAGGCATGGAAGGATCATTACACGTAAACAGTACACAGCGGCAACAGTTACGTTTCATTTTATATCTTTGTTTAAAGATTAAATAATTCCACTGTTACGTCAACATAAAGCATTCTCGAAACGAGAATCTTAAAAATAATGAAATAGCGGAGAGCTCTCAAGGAAAATTAATTTCGTTTAACATGTTTTCCTTGAGGCATAAGCCGCGTGTGCATTTTTAATTTTTATATCCGCTGTAGATGACGTAATGAATTTTTACTGAAGCGAGCTCTTGCTATCTTATAACGGGCGGGTTAATTGGCAAACAAGCTTATTCACAAGCTCTGGCAGGGCTCCGTGCTCCAGCTATTTATTTAATTATTCATTAAGTTATTTACTCTGTCACTGTAAATAATGCAATGCTAGTCTTTAATTAAAATAGAAAAATGGCTTAGTACTTATATTTCAACCCTATAATTAAAATGCTTTTTATATGTTTACCTACTGTAGAAAGCAAGAGATATCTGAAGAGATTTTAGTGCGTGTATTTTCACTTCTGATTGACGTTCCCATTTTATCCCAGAACCTAAAGAAGATGAACTCGCACGATGAAGTGTACCAAAACATTAATCTTGACCCAACTCCGCATATTGTTCACGGCCCATATATCAACAACAAATTGTCTCATATGACGGCCATACAATGCGGAGAGGCGTACTTGGAGAAGCTGATCGTAGTTGGCAATACAGAAGGCAAAAGATCAAGTAGCTCAGAAAAGATCAGTCTAAAGCTGTTTGATAGCCCACTCCAGATGTTTTTTTGCTGACCACGCTGCTCAGACATGAGCTACCGACCAAAGAGAGATAATTTGGCGCTCTGTGTAAAGTAAATGAACAACTAACAGTACCCATGCAGTACGCAATAGGTACATAAATCCTGTAAATTTCAATATATTTATAAACGTTTCGTTTTACGTTTTCTAAAGTTTATAATTTATTAAGTTGTTGAAAAATATGTTTGTACATTGAGCAACCGCATCGTTACAAATGGTATAAGAAATAAATATACCAATATACAATCTGCAAATTGGCGCGCACATTGGCTGTCAAAATATTTCCTCGCACGGAATAAAATATCTCAGTTCCAATAAAACATAAACCCTTCCGATGTTTATCGCTGGCCGCTCGTGATTTAGCGTGACAGGGCCATTTCACGGTGTTCCACGGTGCGATTTCCAAATTGAATTGATATGTTTCCGCTAACGCCGCGGCATTTTTCAGCCCGTATCGCGTATGATGTGCGCGCTAAAGTAACCGGAAAACTGGTACGGCTAGCAGAAACACACGCCGCAAAAGGTATATAAAATAGCAATGGATGCTTCTTTCCTTTTTCTACAGTTACTTTAAAGGTATTGAACGATTTGCCACATACTGTAAACTGAGTTTCTTAAATTCAAAAAATATATTATTTATAGCTAGTTATAATTATACATAAAATTACTAAAGAAGGAGATTCACTCAACCAATACCACGTAGAGGAGGAGGTCGTTACCGGTATTAAAACAAAATTATTAGTGATATATCAGCAAAAATAAAATAATAAATGAAAAATAAATTAGTAAGATTTCAGAATGTTACACAAATGTATCTGCTAACGGTACCAAAGACATGACGTGTGAGATAGGGGTGTAGTAAAGAGTGCAAACGATCGGCGCTTCTTCGTGGAATATTCCCTATCTCGCATATTTCTAGAGGGTCTATACTCTATACCTAATATACATATTATATAAGTTCGCATTAAAATACAAATTATTCAGCGAAAATGTAGCTAAGTACACTTACAAAAAAATCAATGGCTCTACAACCTTTTTTAGGTCTGGCCCTTAGATTTCGGTATCTGTTTCACGATCATTTGTGAATCTAATAGGCGAGTAGGTGATCAGCCTCCTATGCTTGACACACGCCGTCGACTTCTTGGGTCAAAGGCAAGCCTGTTTCCTCACGATGTTTTCTTTCACCGTTCAAGTCAATGTTTTATGCGCACATACTCAGAAAGTCCATTGGTACACTGTTCTGTTAGTACATTGAATAATTCGTTAACAATTCATTAATATATTATATTTAAATGTTGTATTATACCTTGTCCTTGCAGTGGCCTCAAAATGATTGTTTACTGATCTTCCATCGATGTGAGACCAAGGACCTGAAATATTTTATCACAAAGTAGCTTTCGAAACGTATTTTTCTATGTACCTGTATCATTATGATTTCAGTAAGACGTTTATAATGATAAGGTAACTTTTACCGTTTTCACTTTGCAAAATGTAAAACCGCAAAAGTCGCAGGTAAAAACCCACACCTGCGAACCTAGTATTTTTAATAGGATCGTCCCCTCGACCGAGAGCTCTTACTAATTCCACGTCCTTCTCTCGAGAAGCACTTTTTAGTCATTTGGCGCCTCTTGAAGTCGATCAGATGCAAAATGGAGGCTACAACTCAGAAAGGGACTCCTCGTGGGTTATTCACAATGTTTTTTTTTTTTTTGTCGAGGAAGGCTTAATAACACTACGCGACGGCAGAAGTGATTGCGGTACTCATTTGCGAATAATTAATGCTATCTATAGTATGATAATATGTCGGGACAATTCACGCCAGTTGAAAATTTTCTTGAAATTTGACTTAAACATATTACGTTGCTTCTTTCTTTCAAAATACTATGTTACTTAAGAAGAATTATTATTATTATTTCTCCATTGACATCAAAAAAATAAGAGATGTTTTTTTTCATATTTGAGTCGGTTCGATTCCCAGTATTTTTAGAAAATCATTAAATGCAGTAATACTTAGTTTTCAAAATAAAATAAAGTGTTCTTTCAGCAAATTATCCTATTTACGATATTTAAGGTACTTTCCCTTGATGTCCCATAATCTTGGGACGCCCTGTGTATATACTATATTTATTACTTTTGTTGTACCATTGATTGCTGGAGTGTTGCCTAAGAAATTTTAGTAAAAATAACTCGAAACCGACGATTTTATTCGCAGCTTCTACGTCCTGTTTTCATCACAACATCATAATTGGAAACACTAAAGAAATAAAAACGCGCGAAAAATGGGCTAAGGGGGATCCAAGACGCCCCGCGATCGACCCCCGGGGACAACACTTATCATTGACATTAACTTTTTTGTTGTCCATAGCATTTGCATAACTCCTCAAACTCTATCGGGCACACGCTTCGAAGCCCCGGGGCCAAAGAAAATGGCGGCCTATACTTTGTAAGATCATTTTCAGACTTTAGAAACTCTCTCGTCGCGGGAATCGTAAAATGGCGTCATTTGTAAATTACCAACGCGTCGTAACGAATGTATGCTTCGTTGATTTTATATGCTGATTTTATATAGCTTGGGGCCTTTATGGAAATAAATAACCTTTACAACTCATGGGTGTATAATTTGCTTGAGAATTTTTATCTACATCTAACTGAGGCGCCTGCCGGGCTCTTTATTTAATATATAGCTATTGATTATATTCAAGTAAATCAGCTCCCACCCTCTCGGGGGGTCAACTTGATTTAATAATCGATTTTCAATAAAAGCGTCACTAAGGAAATAAACTATTACTATTGTGGTATGTAAAATAAATGAATCAGTGGCGCTACAACCTCTTTAGGTCTTGGCCTCAGATTTCAGGTAATCAGCCTCCAGTGCCTGACACACGCCGTTGACTTTTTGTGTCTAAGACATGTCGGTTTCCTCACGATGTTTTCCTTCGCCGTTCGAGTGAATATTAAATGCGCACATAGAAAGAAAGTCCATTGGTGCACAGCCGGGACTGGAACCTACGACCTCAGGTATGAGAGTCGCACGCCGAAGCCACTGGGCCAACACTGCTCTATTCAATTGTGGTATGTATATAAGAAAAAAATATACCAGAAGTTTGATAAATAATAATCATTGTTAGGAATAGAACCCAAGACAGTTTACGCCATGTTTTTATTACTACTAAATGACGTTTAATTACTTTACTGCAATCGATATTTGTTTTAATATTAAAAAGCAAATGGTAAAAATTTAAAATCGGAATTAGCACATTAATTTGAGCAAGTCTATTTTGACGTCTGTCAGGCTCAATGTGCCCTTCGGCTAACGAAGCTAATTTGACGTTTCAATGGTAAGGTAATAAAGGAATCGCTTAGGGATTTATGTAAAAGAGAAATTTTATTTTGATTAACAATTGTATTTACTAAACGTAAAGCTACTAGTTTACACATTGTAAAATACAAACAAAACACGGAAATATATAAAATATTCCTACCGTGATTGTCCACTGTAATTAAATAAAAGCTAAATAGAACACATCCGAGCAATCTAATCTTAATTTAAAAATATTCCCGTTTTTAATTCTAAAAACAATCTAATTCGAAATTCCATAACGCTGTTCTTAAAAATTTATTCCACAAAGTGTCTTAAAATTGTCATTTAAAAACATGAGCGTGTATAATGACTTCTTCTTATATATAGATAAAAAATACAGGAAAGCTTAATGGAAAGGTATCAGTGGAAGCAGCTGGTATGATACCGGCCAAGAGTGTCGCCGCACTCAGCCGTATAACATTTTTAAATGCTACTTTGTATAGAGAAGGCTCTATGTGTATGTCGAAATTGCTGAATTAAATAACACTTCAATTTCTTATTTTATCAATTCGTTATCTTGTTAGTGAAGTTTGTGTATTCTAAAATAGCAATTAACTTGTTAAATACGCCAGTCACCACCAATTCGTTAATTATATTATAATCGATAAGCACATTGGTATTTTTTTATATAAAACAGGGGGCATACGGACAGGAGGCTCACCTGATGTTAAGTGATACTGCCGCGGATACTTTCAATAGGAGCTCTAGCCTTCTGGCTCAAAAAAAAATTATAAATAACATTACTGTACTGTTCTCATTGCTATTTAACATTGTGACATTCCTATGATTTGGTGAGAAATCCGTTTCCACACTTACTTAGCTTAGACCTATAGCCTCGAGCAAAGGCGATCGCATTTTTCTCGCCCCTTGGAAAAAATAGGGGAGATTCTTATCTTGTCGCTTCTAATTTACTTATTCCTCTTTTAAAGACTTATTTACCTTCAAAATCCCATTGTGCCCGAACGGGACGCTCCAGCAATAACGAGACAACCTCTCGACGTGTCAAACGAGATTTTTCTTAAAAAAGCAATAACAATTTACATAAACACCCGGTCCTAGTTAACAGTTAATAAAGGAAACGATGGCACAATTGACACTGCTCCTTCTAAATACCTTTTAGATGGAAATTCTGAAGATACATTGTTTTACAAGTTTTTTCGTAGCTCCCTATTGTTGCCGGCTTAATTGAATTGGAAGATTCAGTTTTACGATTATTTCACTCTAGGTACTATCCGCAATTCCATAAAAGTTTTTTTTTTAATTAGGAATGCAACTCTAGGAGGACTCTTTATGTATGTATACGTATATATTCATGGGAAATTACAGTCGCAGTTATAAAACAAATGGAAAACATTTCTTCTTCTTTTAGTGCCTCTCCATTACTGGAGGTTGTGGTCCCTTGAAGCATGATCATGTTCTGTGCTTTATTAGACTTTTTCATGATTACTGACTACTTGGAAAAAAATATTTAGCAGTGGTTTTCCGTTGCCTTCTGCCCCAGACGTTTAAGGGATTATTACCTCCCAAGGCCGCTGAAGCCTCTAATAAACCGTTGCCGGATCAGGTGTGTAGTTATACCGCAACTGGTCGGTCGCCATAGCCTCTTCCTTTATCTAGGGAGCACCACGATACG